TGGTGAGTTCCAGGTTCACCATCTCAAAAGAACAAAGTGAAAAGCAATAGAGGAAGGTAGTAGGTCCCAATCTCTGGCCTCCACAAGTTCACATAGAGGCAAGTGTACCTACACACAGACATGCATACAGCACACACATGCATGCACACACATGGACACACACACAAAGAAAAATTATTATTATTACACGACACAAGCCTGAAATCTGAGATGTTTGTCTAAAATAAAATCTTAAGTCAAGCGCTGTGGATGGTTCTGTGGTTTAAAGCACTTGTTACCCAATCTAACAACCAGATTCCCATCCTGGAACATACATTGTGGAGGAAGAGATGCCAAGCCCCTCAGATTGTCCTCTGACCACCATAGATAGGCCGTGGCATGCACATATAAAATTAGTAAATAAATATAACAAAACTGTTTAACCTCAAATCAAGAAAACAACTTCATGACCCATTGTTAATTTTCGGAAAAGACAACACCCAGTGTTGCAGAAAGCGGGATCCCACCTGCACATAGAGAAAACTGGGCTTCTTAAAAGTGAACTTAAATTTAGTGCTCACCGTAGGTTAATGAGTTCCTACTTCATGTTCCGGAAAGATAAAACATCCAAGTCCTTTAGAGATGACTATTTAATATACACAGTTCTCCAGAAATCAATGAGATACTTAGAAGGGTAAACAGGAACATCCTTTACTTATGGAAAACAGGATAAAATAATGCTAAAATTAATCATCTTGCATTGTTCTGAATGAGAGTGACCTATCCTATGACCATCAATGGTGATACAGACTTCTAAAGCAGACACTCTTTCTCCTGTTGTTTCTAAGAGCCAGGCATTCCCACATAAAATGCAGTTCTCAGCATTCTAGTGTACAACATTTTTTGGGCAGGGGAGGTCCCTTTTGAAACAGACAAAATGTTAAGCTGGCACCAATTATAAACAAGCTACTGTGTCTCAATATTAAATCAGAAATTCCTGGTTCACTGATGCAAAACTTACTTTTCTTGGAACAGGGAGAAAAAGACAAGCAGCATATAAGAAAAAAAGAAAACTGGGGAAATTTTCATTAAGTGTCTGGCACCACTTCCCCAGTGTGGTAACTGAAGAACTAACTTTAATGGCCCATACTTTTTTATCTGCTCCTTTAAACTTCAGGCAGGGGACGGGGTTCAGTATATTGTTAGGAGATGGGGGATGGTTGGAGGGAGGGAGAGAAAGGATAAAGTGAGGAAGAGAAGAAAAGGTGTGAGAAAAAAAATGTAAAGAGCCATTTGAATAATTCTTTATTCGAAGTCCATTGTGCCTTGCAGAGTTCAGTTCAAACAGGAAGCAACAGTGTCTTCAAATTTCTCAAGCTTTGTCCCTGTGACAGTGAAATGAAAACCTGATCGTCAGATGCCTCACTGTTCTTCTAACAAGGACATAGATTCCCCAATTAAAGTCACATAAAACTTGGGAAATTATTCAAAAGGTGGGATTTACACAAGATCTCTGATTTCTTACGGTCTTAAGATGAAATATAAAGAATCAAGGCATTCTCTAATCCATGATTTTCCAGATTTAATCATCTAAACAAGCCATGCCTTTGTGAAGAAAATACAGGAGTTTTGGCAAACAGACAAGATTTGGAAGTTGCTTCCTGGGAGTCTCCTGATGGAAATGCATGACTGATGTTGCATTGGAATTTTAATAACTGGTTACTTTGAAAATGTTAAAGAATAGACAAAACCATTAAGCTTAACTTTCTTTCTTTCTTTTTCTCAAGACAGGCTTTCCTCTGTGTAGCCTTGGCTGCTTGGCTGTCCTGGAACTCACTCTGTAGACCAGGCTGACCTTGAATTCACAGAGATCTGCCTGCCTCTGCCTCCCAGTGTGGGGATTAAAGATGTGCTCCACCACTGCCCAGCTCCAAGATTAACTTTTTGTATATTTGTATATGTAATTTTATGCTGAACTTAGTGTTTTTATAGACATGAAGCTGTTTCACAATAAAGAACTGGAGTTCCTGATAAGTTATTAATACGATTCGAAACTTTGTCTTAACCATGGGCTTCCTAAATACACAGGGAGGCCTCCATTTTTCTCATTCACGTGACATTATTCAATAGTGTCAAAATCAGAGGCTCTCAGACCCAGGAAAGGCAGGGAAAGGTGACTTGGGTTCTCAGGGGACATTTGGCAATGTCTGGAAACATTTGGGATTGTCATGTCTGGGCAATATTATCTACAGCTAGTGGGGCAGAAGCCAGGGACATTGCTAAACACTGTACAGTCCATGGGACAAGCCCTCAAAGCACAGGATGATCTGGCTGACTATGCCAATAATGTGGAGGTTGAGCAAGCCTCCTCTAACCCAAGCGCTTTAGTTACCATGAAATTCTTCTCTCCTTGAATAACCAATAATTAATGCTGTATGTGAACGATGCAGGGCACTGGAAGATAGGTGTGATTTGAGAAGAAAACTGATCATTCATATTCATTTTCACAAACACAGTAAAATAACCCAGAAAAAGAACTTCTTTCTTACACAATGTGATGGGGAAAAAATGAAGGAACAAAATCCTATCTCACAAATACTAATCTATGATCAAGTTGTACTCCGCCGTTCTTTTAATATGCCATCTAAAACTCTGTCTTATTAGAAGCCGTGGCATGCGATAGCCAGAAAATGAAAGCAGTAGCATGGATTTAATATAAAATGTTATGTTCCTTTCCTTATAGTGAATATGCTTGTGAGGCTCGTGGGAGGGTACTCTGGAAGGTATGATTGGGATTCCACTCTGGTGCATCTCCTCTACTTTCTTCTTTCTTGGAAAATCTATTGAGGTTAGCAGGGATAGGACCATCTTTGCTATGGGAATTGTGCTAGTTTAATCCCCCTGAGGACAATAGCAGCTGTCACAGTCTAAGAATATTCTAGTAGGATATACAAAATCATTTTTATAGCAATGCTTTAAAAAGATTTAGATTAAAATAGTGAAATGGGCCAGAATGTCATTAAAATAAGAGTGTCATCCAGTTCCAAACAGTGATAAAGGGATAATATTCAGTAAGTCAACACGTGAGTCTTCTTCTTCTTTTAAATTCTATATGGCATTCACCAAATATGGACAGGTTCTGTTTTTAGTTTCAGCTTCAGAACATCTTTTAAAAAATAAATACCTATAATTTTACAAATGAATCTGTAACTGAAACTGCCCAATAAAAGGCATGTTAGTTTCACCTCTTAATGGCCTCCTATCTCTACTGCCTGAAAACTTCTGCAGTTATTTGCAATGGTTCTATCACTTGCCCTAATAACTGCACAGAAATGTGAAGGTACTCCAAAGACTTGGAAGGGACGAAGGCCCTATGCCAGATGTTCAGTCACCACCCAGACTGCAGCTATGTGGTTTTCTTCTTTTCATAAACGATCTTAGAGTTTTGAGGAAATGTAAGCTTCACAAAAGATTAATTGGATGTAAACTATCTCTTCCATATCCTGGTATCAGCATGACGGCTTCCCCTGCAGAGTCCTGCCTTCTGGAGGCAGCATCTAGACCAGTAGTTCTCAACCTTCCTAATGTTGCTACCCTTCAAATACAGTCCCTCATGTTGTGGTGAGCCCACAACCATAAAATTGTTTTGGTTGCTACTTCATAACTGTAATTTTCTGCTGTAATGAATCATAATGTAAATATCTGTGTTTTCCAATGGTCTTAAGAGACCCTTGGTGGAAGGGTCACAACTCACTGGTTAGGAACCACTGATCTAGACCCTATCTGATTCTCAGAAAGTTGGCCTGTTTGGATGAATGCAGGAGAGTGAAGTACCAAAAAACCATAAAGTGTAAGGCCTTTGAATTCGAAGGAACTTAAACAAAACCAAGAAGGATAAGTCTAAATGCAGGGGTAGCCGGAGGTTTGAGTAAGAAGACTACATGAGAGAGAGGAGGGGCCTCCAGGTCCTGGGATTCAACCCTGTGACATTCTGCATTGCTACCCCACTGTCGTCCACACACTGCAGTAGCCAAAGATACACTGTTTTTATTTAACTATAAGAGATATAGAATTTTAGCTCCAAAATGTTCCCCATTTGGCTCCAATTTTTTGTTTGTTTTGCTTTTGTAACTTTTATTATTCCCAATATAGAGTTTTCTTTTCCAAAGAACCCTTCGAATCCAATTCCTACGGCGGATTTGGTATGTGCAGCTGGTACTATCCCTTGGACCCTGGGCAAGCTGCAAGCATCGTTCTAAATCTATATTCACTAAGTTCCTGTTTCCCCAAAGCAAATGTGTAAGTTTACCAGCTGGTAAACTTTACGCCAACTCATCCCTTCTGAAAGTCTTCGGAGAATGATCAGCTGGCTCGTCCTTGTATCATGACATGGTTTTATGCTTCTGTTTACGCTGCTCCTAAGAGGGTGTTGAAGATCTGTCTGTTCTTTGACCAAAATCCCGACTCAAGGGAAAATCGAGAATTAGTTGTAGTTTGGAGGGGAAAGAGCAGACTGCTCCTTGAGGTATGATGCTGCAAACTCCTAGAATAAAAGTCTCACATAGCCAACTCTGGGAAAACTGAGGGGCTGGTGTGAGTCCCTCACCTGGCCATCAGTATGCTTGGCTCCTAGCCTCACTATGCAGCAACAATGCTGATTGGATGCCTAATGTGAGTGTGGGACCAAATAAAAGTTTTGCATGAATTAACATCTTATTCTCTCAAGATAGCTCTGAGGAGCAGGTGCCAAAGACACGAAACGAACCAGGAGACGAATGAGGACTTTCCTATTCCTTACCCTGCATCCTCCAGTTCAAACATCTCCCTGGCCAATCCGCCTGCCTTTAAGCACCCTGGTCTGAACTGCTAGCCAAGTGTCCCAGGAGGTCCCTTTTACTCAGCTCCACCGAGCCTGGAGGTGACTCATCGGGCTGCTTGCTACCCCGCGCTCCTTGGGGCTCTGGCAAGCAACTGGAGAGGTGCCCTCCCACCCCGCAGGCCCGGCGGGGCGGGGCGGGGCTCGGCCAGCCAGCCAAGGCCGGGAGCGGGAACCGGCAGCGGGAAGCGGCCACCGCCCGGGCAGCACGACCTAGGCAACAAGGCAAGGCGAGCGGGGCGGGGCGGGACGCCACTGGAAGGGGTGGCCGAGCTACCCGGGGACCGACCGACCCGAGCCGCTCTCCCAGCGCCAGCCACGATGGGGCTAGAGACCGAGAAGGCCGACGTGCAGCTCTTCATGGCCGATGACGCCTACAGCCACCACAGTGGTGTCGAATACGCAGATCCCGAGAAGTATGTGGACTCGAGTCATGATCGGGATCCTCACCGGCTCAACTCGCATCTGAAGGTGAGTTTCAGGCCAGCTGTCACCTAGGCTGGAGGCTGCTGTGGGTCCGTGGCTCTCTGCAGGAAGATGCCCCTTCAACTCCTCCCCAACAGTGGCCACTGGTCTTATTGGCACCCCGTTGGCCCGGACACACAACTCTCAGGCTCCCTACACAACCAGGAATGTTTGTCCCAACTCCTGTGTAACCACCGCCACCCTAAGAAAAGCTGGGGCTACTCTAGCCACGTCTTTCCTACAGATTTCCCTGCTTCTAGTGCCTCTGCCCCCCCCGGTCCCCGCCCCTCCAGACAGGTTGGGTGACAGCATGGGTCCCTGTGTCTTGTCTCTCTGCAGCTAGGCTTCGAGGATCTGATTGCAGAACCTGAGACTACACACTCTTTTGACAAAGTGTGGATCTGCAGCCATGCCCTCTTTGAAATCAGCAAATATGTGATCTACAAGTTCCTGACGGTGTTTCTCGCCATCCCCTTGGCCTTCGTTACAGGGATTCTGTTTGCTACCCTCAGCTGTCTGCACATCTGGTGAGAGGGGACACACGGGGTGGGTCTGCCTTCTAAAGCATACAGATGTATTTGTCACCTGCCCCCAAGACGGTTTGCAGAGAATGCTTGCATTCGTTCCCAAGCAATAGCAGGGCCTGAGAAAGCTTGAAGGGCAAAAGCATGCTTTCTTTAGAATAATAGTCTTTTAGAATAATAGCTGAGAGTTTAAACAGAAGGAAGCCAGGGCCTCTTTCCTGGGTGTGATTTTTCCTTCCATGCAGAAGGCTGAGCTGAGTGCGGAGGTGGGGGCTGGAAGGCTGCTTCCTGCCACAGGCTGCTCTCTCAAGGCCCTGTTGTGACTTGTGCCTGTGGTTCTGGGCAGGTCTTTTCTTTCTTTCATTGCTATTATTCAGTCACCATCTGTGCTTGGGTAAAGCAAGAAACAAGCGTGATCTCAGAGCAGAACACCACTGACAGTCTGACCAAACAAGAATGCCAGGCTTTGGTAAACAGCTGTGGGCAGGGCCACTCACGTTTTACTGTAGAATGGTAATAATGGAACCAGGGGAGATGGGAGGTGTTTACAATGATGGTGTTACACACCTAACGTGGATGAATGAAAACTCAAGGAAATGCAACAATGAAATATGGCCATGACATTATCAATTCACTGTCACAAGTGAATCTGACATCTAGTTACAACAAAAAGAGATACAAAAACCCAGAGAACATTGGTGGGATGTCTGTAATATTATCCACATCCAATACGCATAATAAATTTTATAGAGCATTTTAAGCACTCAAACTCTTCTTAAGGGAAACAGTATATTCCTTCAAGAAATGCTTTTAGGCCAAAAGTGAACCACTTTATTCATAGTCATCCACAGTGTCACAATAGTTCTCAGGTTGGCTCCTCAAGGTGGTCCTGTAGCATATGTAACCTCAGATGACACCATATAGTTCTTCATGTTACATGGCATTGCCACACCCCTATATAGTCTCAGTGTTCACTATTAAGAGCTATCAAATGCATTACTTCCTCCAGTCTCTAGCCAGTTCTGCACACTAAGTCTATTAGGTGCTCAGTCTTGCTGGGCAAGTACACAAAATTTTCTTCAACTTGCCCACTGCCTGGGAAGGGGATTTAGATATAGATTTGAATGGTGAGAAAGCACCATTGAACTCTAATGGAGAAATTGAGAAACGGGGCGGGGGTGAGGGAAAGAAATCTGAAAGAAAAGTCTTATAAAAGATAATCATAAATTCAGATGGACAAAGGATAAACAAAGAACACCAGTTTAATCACTTGAGGTTGAAAGTGCCAAAAGATTGCCAGAAAGCGGTCCACAAGCAGAGGTATAGTTATCTCACATCTGACATTCCCACACGTATGGATTTTTCACTTGCCTAAATCAACATACACAATTGGACATTCCTCATTAACTAAAACCACCAATGAACCACCTAAGTCAATTCTCTTTCCACTTTCAAAAATGTGAAAAAAAAAAAACCAAAGGCTCCATCACATATTGTGAAATGCTGGCTTTGATGCTCTTTGGAAGTACACAGTGCAGATTTATTGACGATGCTATAGGTCTTCCCACACCTTCTGTGGAAGAATTGGAAAAGGGGGAAATTTTTCATTTGTCAAATGGTGCAAAGATATTAACAATACTACAATGACCCAGATGATGCTTCTCTCCACCTGGCTCTCCCAAGAGTGGGAGGAGTTTTGTGTTTGGCTTCCGCTGGTGAATCATCAGCTCACCTTCCCTTTTAGCCTCATGATATGTATTATTTAATTTCAGTTTGTTTTTCCAAATTGCATTCGTGTGGGACATTAATATTTAATTATCACATAGTTGTCATCAGGTAGCTATGAATCTATGCTTAACTGTTACTTTGTGCATTGATGAAACAGCTTTATTATTAAGGTATTACATTCCCCCCTGACAGATAAGCCAGATCAATGGGATGCTTTATTGAAGAGTGGACTCATGTGAGCAAACTTGGGTTTTTTTTCTTTCTTTCTTTTTTTAGTTGTTTATTTTATATTTCTTAAACAAGGGACTGCTCATTGTTTAGCCAAAGCTGAGAAAATTTTAAAGAGGCTTTTAACCAAGTCACAATATCACCACACATCTGATTTTAGATTTTTGTTTTGATTGTGGTTATTGTTTAGGGGGTATTTGGTTGGTGGGTTATTAATTGTTTTGTTTGGTTGTGAGCACACAGCTCACCATGGTTTCTCAGGTTGGCCTTGAACTCCTGGACACAAGGAGTTCAGGACACAAGGAGTTCATGCCTTAGCCTTTCCAGGAGCTGGAACTACAATTATACACCACTACAGCTAGACTTTGGATACTTTGCCCAAATAAATAACAAAAACTAAAATATAACCATCTGGTTATGTTGGACCTTCAGTCAAATGTTCAGGTCTTTAGGATTTGTGAGATGATGCTGTTTGATACTTTGACAAATAAGCTCACTATAAAGAAATGCATCATAACCAAAGAAATGTGACTGGGGCATCTATAGTCTTATTGTCATGGAATACAATGCAAGTAGACACCCAGTTGCTATAAATACAGTGCACAGCCTGTCATTCTAGTTGTTTTTAGTACAGCACATTGCTGTGACAACACAGTCTTTAAGACACTAGTATGAAAAACAACCCTTGATCTCAGGCTGCTTATCCAATGGCAGCATACTGAATCTGTAGATTACAGACTTACCTGAGAAGCGTTTGTTTGGCTATGTTCAGCCATTTATCATTTATCATCAGTCTAAACTGTGTGCAGTTTTAGAAGAGAAATGATTTACAATGTTGAGAATGAAACTCAAATTCTATATCCAATGATTGTTGAGCTGACACAAAGAGAATAATTTGAAGAAAATACAGTGTGTTCATCATATCCAATGAGCTAAAATCTTTATACATAGGCAGCTGGACTTCGTTGATTCAAAAATTTAAATACCTTCTAGAGCCCAGAGATACAAGGGTTATGAAGATAGAGAAGAATTAGCCTAAGAGTGAAGAACACAATTTATTCAAAGTAAAGTGGATTTGATTAACAAACTTTCAGACTTCTATTAATTTGAGGTTATTTTTGTTAATTTTTTCATTATATATTCTGATTTCAGCATGGGTCTGTCTAATATTGTTTGTTATATAACAGTACCTTGTGGAAATCTCAGAGACATGCAATAAAAGTTTGCCCCAATAACTGGCTCTGTAATATTTGTGGTCTCTTTTTAATTTGTGGCATTGTGTGGAAGTGACATTGAGTGAGAGGCATGTGGAATAAGAAGTGAACTGTTGCCATCACTCAACTTTTAGTCAGCTGTTTAGTTCAAAAGCACCCCTAACTCATTTTCATATACAATTGTTTCAATTATTTAGTAGTTGCAACAAAACATAACATAAATATAATCTATGTAAATGGTCAGTATGCATAATTCAGTGTTCTAAAAATATATCCATCAAACACATCATTGCTGATCCTTTGGCTTGAATGCAACAGTATTTAGTGAAGTCACATTTTAAGAACAAAACAAGAAAACCAACCTTCATGCTCCACCCTCCACACCGGTAATAGTAAAGATTCCAAGAAAGTATTGTGAATTTTGGGCACGTTCCCAGTGCCCAAAATTCACAATACTTTCGTGCTCACAGCAAACACTGTTCAGATTACACAAAAAGTTCTTCTGGGCAATATAAGAATAGTAAGCTATCTTGAGAAAAAGTACACAAAATGTGGGAATACACCTTTTTGAACTACACCACACAGCCCTTATTGGCAAGTGTAATTCCTATGAAAAATAATTATCCGAAGCAGCTAATGACATAAATGGTGATGACAATGTGAAGCTGGACAGAATACTAAATTCATTTCCATTCAAATCTTAATGGAAGGTGAAGCTCAGCATATATTCCAGAAGGAAAGACAGATTTAAGTACCATGCCTTTTCATAAATTTTAAAATGAAGAGGTTTGTTTCAGTACATTAGAAGCACAGCAAGGAGGCTCCCACCCAGCCTGGCTAAGAGGAGAGGCAAGGAGAGAGGCCTCAGGAAAGGCAGGCAGGAAGTAGGTCCTCAGAGAAACAGGAAGTGCTACCAGGTTAATGTTTAAAAGCAGAGATCTGGCAGAGAAATAAACTGCTCTGTTTATTTTTATTTTATCGTTTCCACTAGCATTCAACCAGCAGAAAGAATATTAACATTTATCATCTATGTGCCTGTTTATCTTTTAAACAGCTTACCTCTTGCACTGCTTATCACTCTGGCCATTGTCCATTTATTTATTTTGAACTGTTGAACCATATTAAAGTAAATTAAGTCATTATTATATTTGTTCATGCATGTGTGTCAGTCCCCTTGGTAACACTAATTGCTAGTGGTAACACTAACAATGCTTTTACTTCCCTTTCCCCCCATTCCAGGATCCTAATGCCTTTTGTGAAGACCTGCCTAATGGTCCTGCCTTCCGTGCAGACAATATGGAAGAGTGTGACAGATGTTGTCATTGCCCCGTTGTGTACAAGTGTAGGTCGCTGTTTCTCATCTGTCAGCATGCAACTGAGTCAAGACTGACAACTGAGACCCAGGCCCAGATGATTGGATGCTGTAGCACTTGATGATGTAACACTGAAGCACTGCTGTTCTCTTCACTGCCCAATTGTTAGAATCAAGAAGACTGTCAAGAGGGGACCCATGTTCATAAATGTTCAATGACAGATCTTAATAAATAATGATTTCCCCTATAAAAGCCAAGGATTTCATATCTAGTTCTATAACAAGTATTGGCAACACTCCACTTATGAGCAGATAGGTTTTGCTTTAGTAGAAAACATGCATTTGTAGTGATGACTTGATAATGGTCAAGGGGAAATTTTCTCAAATACTACAGTAATTTTGTGCATAAATGCTCATAAAAGTATGGGATTTCTTATTTTCTTTTACTCTAGGAGTAATGCTTTTAAAAATTACTTTACAGATAGCGTCATAAGGCTAGAGAGGTAATATATACAAACATTCTAGAAACTTCATGCAGTAACAAACACATATACTTATGATAATAACTATCAAATATAATAAGACAAATGTGAAAATGTGTTCCTCTGAGTTATTATTAGCCTGTAATCATATTTAACAAGATGTTTCATTTTGCTGTATATTTTGTACCTAATGCAAGTGTTCCTCTAATCAAAGTGCTTTATGTTTTGATACATTTATATCATCTTAATTGTTCTCATATATAAATTAAGCATAGATACCACAGTGTAACTTTCTTTGTAAGATTGGCCTGTCACATATGAGAACTTTTGCAGCTTCTTTGGAATTCAGTGTAAAATGAGCTGTCTATGTTTCCTCTCTAACTTTCCCAGCAAATGTTTTATGACTGGGGTTTATCTGGCTGTGACCTTAAGACAGGTATTTGCTTTTGTTTACTGGACTTTTTTCTCCCATATAGTTAGAAACTTAATCTGTATTCTACATTCCAATGAATGCTTCAATTACTTTCAAGTAATTCTGGTGCTAGTTAATAATATTTTTATAACAAACTAACATCTAAGTACAATTTTTACTACAGTGGCTCATGTAGAGAAACTTATAGGAGAATTAACAATTGTGAGGGTTTATAATACTAAAACATATATACAAATTAATAGCTAACAATTACAAATCTTCAAGATGTTCTCTGATATGAATTTGTTGACCGATAAAATATTATCCTGTGCTTTTTCAATTGTAGAGCCCTAATTTAACATATACTCACTATGGCCTTTAAAAAAAAAGTTGACATGTAAAAAGTTTCTACATTATAATTACTATAAGTTTTCAAATTCCAGAATTATTATCAAAACCTGGATTGTCATTTGCTTAAATATGCTCATGGGTGTCAAATCTTCATTCATTGAAAATTAAGAAAAATTTTTTCAGTATTTCCAATTCTGGTCAGTATTATGCATGGGTGACTGAATTGGAATTCTATTACAAACCAGATCAAATGATCATGTCAAGTAACTAAGTTGTAAAGCTCATACATTTTTAAGGTAGTCACAAAAGGAACATTTCAAACTGACCTCAGAAGAGACATCATACCCTGGTAATAGCCACAAAGTGTTGCCACTAACAGGACTATGGAGATTGTATTGTGCTACTTTTGAAAGTCAGTCTCATGGCTTTATATTATTTTTGTAATTTAAGATTTAAATACTTGGATATATTGATTAGTCAAAAAATTAATAATAAAATATCAATTTAATAAATTATAAGCTTTAACCTTTTAAAAAGTGTTGATAGTTTTTAAAGACAATTATGTATAATTACATGTCAAAACATTTAATTTCTAATATATATGATTTCCTTTTTTGAATAGTACTGATTATTTTCAAGTGAACTTTTATTGAAACTTTTCATGAATCATTTTGCATCAAAAAACTCAAATTATGAATAAAGCAAATTAAAGTTAAATATGCAAATATGTTGGTTTTTTATCTGGGGCAGTTGGAATTCAGAGGCAAAAAAAATCCCTCATTATCTAAAATATCTAAAAACAGTAAATGAGTTCATTTATTTTGTTATATTTTATCTTTCTGCTGCTTACTTCACACATCTGGAACTGAAGAGAGAGAACCTTTTAAAATCCCATTCAACTTTTTAAGACCTCCAATAGCAAGAACATGAGTTATTGTTCCAAGATGTGTCTGTTGGGAGGAAGAGACGGGTCAATGGTTAAAGCACTTGCCATGTAAGCCTAGTGACTAGAATTAGGATCCACAGAACCCACAGGATGTAAGGTGGGCTTGGCAGTCCATCTTTAGTTCCATCTCTACAAAGACAGAAATGGGATCCTCAGAGCCAGCTAGCAGACTAGTCAACTCTACTTGCTCCGAGTTGAACGGAGAAACCCTCCTTCCATGAACAAGGTGGAGATAAAAGACTTCCCATACCAAACCTTGAGCCTCTGCAAGCATATGTATGCAAGCATGCACAACCACACACACACACAAGTGTGTGCACACATGAAAGAGTATGCACACATACACCACAAATGCACATAAGAAAAAGAATGTTTTCTTAAAAAATTATGAGACTGCTCATTTAGTTCTCTGTTTTTCTAGTACTCAAAGAGATTCTACACAAACTTTTCTGTCACTTGATAAGTAATATGCAGCAGCTTGCTCAAAAACCAACCACTCTCATTCTTTGCAAAGTCTCATTTTACTAGTCCTAAATAAATTGCTATCTCTATTTCTAAGTCTTAAATACAAAAGTAATAATAATATAAATTACATGTTAAAATAACTTGTATCCCAAAGCCAGATTTATTCAAAATTATTTTTGGAAAGTATGTATGTGAAGAGCAATTGCTGATGTTGGCACAGACCTTCTTGTGGTCAATTAATCTGATAATCAATCAGATATTTGGCTTTTTAAAAGGTTCTTTATAGATCGAAAGAACTTTAAAAATTCCTCTTTTTAGTAGTCATCTAATTTCCAGTAACTTATTTCCAAGGCTTTCTTGGGAAGTTGTTGCTTGTAAGAAAAAGACAGCTTGGGTCCACACTCAGTACCACCGTGACTCCTTTGGTTCACCTCCTGCAAATGGCTTAGCCTGTGTCTTGGATTTCTTTCTGCAATGAAAAGACTGAATTAAATGGTCTCCCAAGAGCTCCGCATGCCACTGTTTTCTGTAACAGCAAAACTTGGGTTTGTCTCTTCTTACAAATCTAGCTATTCAGTTCAGGGACTTTGATGATGATGATGATGATGATGATGATGATGATGATGATGATGATGATGATGATGATGATGATAAAGCAATGTAGTTATTGTCAGTCATTCATTTGGGATGCATACTAAATATACACCCACGGATATACTTTTTCACTCTCCCACCTTTTGTAACTTTGACCTTTTATGACAAGAATTCCTAGATTTTTATGAGCTCTAATATTATTATTCTATCCCTTGAATTAACTAGTTACCATACATTTTTAATAATTGAGATTAATTTGAAGATTTACTAACAAAAGCAATGCTTTGCCAGTGTTTTGTTTTGGATTTTAAATGGTCCCCAAAGGAACATGTATGTCCAAAAGGCTCATGTCACCTGCTTGTGGTGCTGTTGTGATCTGGTAGAACCTTTAGGAGTCTGGATCTAGACAAAACAAATCAATCATGTCCTTGGAAGTGCAGCTTGGAAGAAGATTGAAATCTGAGCCCCTTCCTGTCTCTTTCCTTTTGCTTCCTGGTTACCATGAAGTGACCAGTTTACTCTACCACAAGTGTTATTCCTCAGTATAGCCCAAAGGTAGCAAGGCCAAACAATTGAAACATCTAAACACAAACAAATAAACAAAAAATGTGAACCCTAAATAACCGTCTCCATCTCAAAGGTATCCCATCTGTTTGCCACAGCAATCGAAACCTGATTGAGAACACCCATGCCCTTTGTCATCTCCATCATCAGCCTGGATGTCAGTCTGAACCTCTCAGCTGGCCTCACCCTCTGCCTTCAATCGGTTCTCCAACCACTGGAATGGTGGCAGCGCCAAATGCATTCAGGCAATGTTTTCTGGATGAATAACTAGGCGGATAAATAACCAAGGGGAATCTGGGGTACTTGGAGAATTAGGAGTAAGAGTCACATTTCAACCTTCTTTTTTATTTACAAAAGGAGTATGAAACACATATTCTGGTAAAAGTTTCCTACTCGGACTTTCGTGCTCATAAGCCACCAAGGGAAAACCAAACCTATGTAAGGCATAAGAGCTGCAGTCCTGCTTTGGGGCAACATGGGTGGTGCTGGTTACTCTGCTCCTTGCTGAGACAAAATCCCTGACAAATACAACTTCAGGAAGGGTTTATTTCGACTTGTGCTTTATGAAGGGAAACGCTGGGTCATAGTGGGAAGGTTGTGGAATAGTAATGTAAGGTGCTAGGTCCTGTTTGTAGTCAGAAAACAAAGAGCAGGCCTGAAGGCTCAGGTAGAAACAAACCCTAGACCGGCCCCCACAGACCCTACTTACTCCACCCAAGCTCCACCCCCTCAAGGTCTACAGCTTCCTGCAACTCTATCAGCAGGGGACAAAATGTTCGAACACATGCCGTTTCTCACTCCAGCCATCCATGCCTATCTTATTCTTCATTGCCTCGCTTATAACCTACTTTGGAATCTTTGGAAACAGGGATCTCTCATAACTTAGAAACTTGCTTGTAGACATGCTTATGGGCCTTTGAGAATTGCAGTTGCTTTTGCTACCCTGTTTCCCACTGTAGTCGACTGAAACATGATTTCTGTATAATTCTACATGTCAGAGAACGCAGTCTATACACTGTGTCAGTTGAGTTCTAGGACAAATTAAATGGCAGTGAAGAGAGCATCCAAATGACTCCATTTCTGTGGTTACAATTTTATCACTGCAGAGTGTTTGCGTAAGATAACAAGAGCTTCCAGCTGTTCTCTAGGGTAGCAAAAGCAGGCAGTAGAAAAAGGAGGTAGAGCCGCAATGAGAACTTAGCACAGCTGATGCAATTCTTCACAAATCAGGACAGAGGACGTTTCCCCTGAAAAGCAGAAAGAGGAGACAAGGGCTGTCCGTGCGCTAGATATTCCGGCTACAGACTCAAGGAATAAAAATCATTTGGGTTTGATTCACCCAGTGTCTTCGCTCTTCACTTCTAAGTAGTAAAATGAGCAAAAGAAGGCTCTCCTCGACAGAGTTTAAAATCATTTTTATACCCTCTAGCCTTTCTCTGGGTAACATCTGACATGCTACCACAGGGATCTTACCTCTGATGTTTTTTTAAGTGGGAAAATAGCCTTGAGTGGGGTCGCATTTCAATTGACTGAAGCCTTATATTTTAGACTTCAGTATGAATGGGTAGTCTAAAGGGGACATTGAACACTGCAGAAGGGATCCCAGGAAGAGCCCCGAGTACCGTATGGAGCACATACACAGACCAAGAAGAAAGCCAGGTTAGAGACACAAAGACAGGCGGCTGCAATGGCACTGACCCTAACCCTTCCCGGCTCTGTTTTGGAGACCTCTGCTTCCCATTCCTAAGTGTGGCTCAGTGAAAACTGAATAGGAGTGGAGAGAGTTCAGTCCACAAAAGAGACTTCTTTTTCTCCACAAAGAAGAATTGCTTTTGTCTTATTGAATGAAAATAGGCCTGGGAGGGAGCCTGGGGGCTCTGCAGGAACCATGTACCCTAAAGACCATCCAGTGAGCAACACTGAAGACAAAATGAAGTATAACTGTGACCGCTTGTGTCGCTTTCACCTTGCCCTGCTCCACGGTTGACCCCAGCTCTGGTGTCTGTGACAGAGAAAGGATATACCACAGAGCAGTCAGAGAAATCAGAGGACACCACAGCAACAATTACCCCTAAAATAGGACAAGGACACCTATCTGCCTGTACTTGGACGTGTTCTATTACGCAGCTTGGCTGCACGGCTGGAGAAGTCATTCTGCCATTATGAGAAAAGGTAAGAGGTGGAAAGGGATGAGAGAAAGGGAGAGAGGAGACTCAGTGGGAAACACCGCATCACCAAGGGCAAACACTTCTCTCCAATACAGACGCAACAGGAAGAGACAAGAGCAACAGGTCACCTCTAGAGCATCCTTTTCTTCCTCTGCCTCCCAGCCACTTGTCAGTGAGCACTGTCCGGCCACAAAAGGGGAAAGGAGGGCAGAAGGCAGGTCCTGCTTCAGCTGAATGCTAGATCCATTCCAGGCAACTACTGTCTCAGCTAACTGGGACAGTGCAACAAGGAGTTGTTTGGGAAGTTCCAGGGCAGAACCAAGCTATTTTCAGGGAGGCGAGCAGCAAAGATTAGCATGCTTATTGTAACCATTCAGGCATAGAAAGCTGAGAGCTGTGCTCCCAGTACAAGCAGGGACAGGAAGGTGTACAATGATTAAGTACTTAGGAGCTGGGGAATTCACCTGTACCTTATGACATGGATTCTATTGTCCCCATTTTCTAGATGATGAAAATGATGCTCAGAAGTGAGGGACTTGTTCAAGATCACCCCTGACATTAGGATTTGAGCCAAGAAAATCTGACACTTAAACTTGCACTTGGTCCACAAGGAGATACCTGCTTTTCCTAGGATTCTGTGCATGACTTCTCCTGTTCTTTCAATCAGCATTCAATCATAGAACCTTCCAGAAGCATGTGTTTTCATTCTCCCATCCGAGTCAGTCCAGGAACTCAGAGGTAGTGCCCTGACTCAGTCTCCTTCTAATACAACTCAGTATCCTGCTTCTGTAGGCATAACCTTTCATTCCTTTTACAATCTTACTTCAGGCTCTTATATTCTGTCCAGTGTCAGAAAATTATTATTTAAATGTCATTATTCAGAGGTAGCAGTTCAAGTCCCTCTCAAGTTTCTCTACCATCTGTCTCAACACAGTGATTTATCCAAATACTAGGCAATGGCATCTATTTCTGTTTAGGATAAATGGTTCTCTAAACAAAACATATTTTGTATTTTTATTTGTTTAAAAATCCCTTTTCAGTGTGTCCAACCTTTAATTGTTATTCAGCTTTGTCTGTCATTCTATTTTTGAAACTCCAAAGAAAACATACACACATTTGTTTATTTTCCTATCATTGAAGATTTTATGGTATTTTTCAAATATGTAGCTTCATTGAAGTATTCGATTGTTTTATCAATTTAGTTGTATATTGTCATACAAATATTTAATAGAGATATACAATGTGTAATTGCAACAATGGTGTATCAGTAGTGTTATTATGATCTATTTTAATACAGAGTCTTATGTGGCTGTCCTGGAACCCACTATGTAGACCCGACTGGTTTTGAACTCATAGATGTCTGCCTGCCTTTCTCTGCCTCATAAGTGCTGTGATTAAAGATGCAAGGTACCATGCTAGGCTGTGTATTATGATCTTGCTATCAATACTGGTATGGTGAAATTTTTGTTTTTTTATCAAAAGTGACTGGCCCTCCAAAGATCAATATTCCATAAATCTTACAAAACCTTTTATGCAAGTCTTATAATCTCCTCTACCATGTAAAACTTTTATGCAAACCTTTTAAAATGACATTTTTAAACATTTACTTATTTTTACCTTTTATGTACATGAGAGTTTTGGCTTACAGTTATGTATGGGCACTGCATGCAAACTTGGTGCCCAGGAAGGCCAGAAGAGTGTGACAGATCCCCAAACTGGAGTAATGGACAACTGAAAGCCACCATGTGGGCGCTGGAAACCAAACCCAGGGCTTCCAATAAGCCATCTCTATAGTACCCTATTTAATTTTTTCATCTCCACACAAAGGCCCTGCTCCATTCTAGTAACTTAATGACCCTTAGAGGCCAACCCTTTCCCCCTTTTCAAATTAGCCAATCTGGAACAGACTGTAAGGTTGAACCTCAGCCAACAGTGAGGAACAACCAAGATCCCTGCCCCCCTTGAATTAAGAATAAAAGGGAGAGGCCATCTTGGCCATGGATGCTGCTTGTTAGCTCAGTTTTATTATGGTGCACCTTTTTTTTTGACACAGACATTGTCTTCTCAGGTTATTTTCACCTTTTTAGATATGTCTTTGTGCAACACTGAAAACATTCTTTTGCATGCATACATATATGTGTGTGTCTATATTTATTATACCAAGAAGCAACATTTCTATATGCAATATATATGTGTGTAACATATATATGTCACATGTATGTAAGTCAGTATGATTTTACGTTTTCTTTTCCTTTTTTTACATATGTGTGTTTGCATGAGTGTGAATGGATATGGGGAGTAGATAGAGTAGATATGACATGTATGTACACGGGTATGGTGGCCTAAGGTTGATCTTGGGAATCTTCCTATATACTCTTCTAACTTAATTTTAGGCAAGGTCTCTCAAACAAACCCGGAGTTCATCAACATGGTAGCCTTGCTAGCCAGGTATTCCAGGGGCCGCACATCTACCTTCTAAAGCTGGAATTAAGGTGAGCCGCCACCCATATCCAGCATTTATGCTGGTTCTAGTTCTCTTGCTTGTGTGGCCATAGGTAGGAAATAGATTGATTGAAAGTAGTAGTCCTTCCGGTTGTGGTGGTGCACGCCTGTAGGATTTGCTGAAGGGAAAGTAGTAGTCCATGACACAGTTTCTATGAGGTCATCATCCATGATGGAGTGATGCGATAAGGGTCATCCTAGAACAAAGGGAAGGCAACATGGCAAGTGTAGCTGTTTAGCACACAATTAGAACATTTGCTGTCATATGGGGAAGACAAGAGACTAAAACATAAAGGGGAACTGGAGGAGGGCAAAATTACAGAGTGCTCAGGGCTCAGCCTCTAGATGTGAATCCATTTGGCCAGTGGCAGCACAAATACATATTGCTTCTTGGCATAAAGCCTTGTTGTCCTATCTCTGTTTGAGCATGTACCAGCAGTGGAAATTGGAGATGATACTGCTGTTTGGGAGTCATTTATACTCTACCAGAAAGCCCACTCAACTCATTGGTCCCGACACGTTGTGATATTCCTTTGATCTGTCATTTTGGCGCTCATCTGGGGTGATTGGACATTCCTTCACACCTCCTCAAGAAAAGTTTGGCATCATTTTGCAAGTATAAAAAGTAAAGGAGCATTTTCTAGTGGCCATGAGCATTGTGATCCCTACATTCTGTTTACTCTAATTTTTCAATTGATATAACACAACAGTGCATTGTTCTGTAACAATGGTTATACCAGGAGCTGGGAAGGTGGCTCAGTGGTTCAGAGTACATGCTGCTCTTGCAGATGATCCTAGTTAGGCTCCCAGCATCCTTATCAGGTGGCTCAAAATTGCCTGGAACTCCAGCTCTGGTAGATCCAAAGTATGGAGCAAGACGCATGCATATGCATAATTAAAAATAAGAACTATAGATATTTTTAAATATATAAGACTCCTGTCATAGGGCAAGAAGACTATATTGTTCAGTCTTAGCTGTTACTGGTTCATGTCTATTTAATCTTCTCTTCCTTTATTTCATCCCCCCTCCCACTTCTCATCCAGTCCTGTGAACTTAATATTTCACATGGCTCTAAAGGATAACATCTTCCAACATTTTGCTCTGAGACAAAATTTAGATGGCTACACAAGATGATTTTGGTTTACTTATATATTTACCTTAACTGACCTAACAAAACTTGATGTTTTGGGGACTCAAATGTGTAAGATATAATACACCAAAATAAGGAAATGACCAAATGAATGTGCTTAAAACATCAAACAGTTCTTACATACATATGTTTCCTTACAATGTGATAGTTGTGGACTCAGCAATATCAAAGATGGGAGTGACAGTGGACACAGGAAACTTCAGACACAGCCGTGCTGTCTTTTTCAAGGCAGATGCAGGCTTGTAGATAGAGTCACAAAAACAGCACATATCTAGATGATAAGGTGAAGGCTCTCCAGAGACCAAAAGCAAATTCAATCAGTATCAGCACTGCATGCAACGGGATCGGACAGGGCAGAGGTGCATGGGATTCAATAAATCAGCATCAGCGCTGCATGCACCAGGTCCAGCCATGCAGTGGTGCATGGAGACACATTTTCCCCAGGTAAAAACAATGTCTGGCAAATAGTTTGTTTACTAGGGAAAGCACCAAAGGAAGGAAGGTTTCTGTTGTTAGATAAGGGAGCACTGACTTAAAGCCAGGTATATCTGTAAACAAGGAGGCTTTGTGGAAGACTCCTCCCTGATATTTACATTTGCTCAAAGAAAACATGAGAGTTTCTTATCTCCACTATCTAATTTTGTGATATCAAAACTGATGCCATTTCTATTCTTCCTCATTTCATCATGGTGAAAATATAGGTTTTGGCCCAATATTATTAAAAATAAGATAAGGTATCTAACTTTGTAATATAGTACAAAAATAAACTCTGTGGATATTCTTCAAAACAGTACATATTTTAATTTTGTGTTATTGCATCAAAGTACACTAGGCTACTTTATATTATATATATTCCAGCATGATTTGTTGTCAGTTCTGGATAGCATTTATGTGACACTTATATATTCAAAAGGAAGTAATGATTCATTTAGCTTGGGCAGGACAAAATGTAGTTATCATTGCACTACTCAGAATCTCTTAGCTAGATATAATGCAGTAATTGCTTCACCACTTCATATTTTCTGAAAACTTCAACACCTAAGACTTATTTGTGGCAAATATTTTCAAGTTTATACTAAATAGAATTGCATTTGTATTTCTACTTCATCTACTCAGATGAAGGAATAAACCAAATATTTATTTACTTTTAACTTTACACTTTCAGAATATGTAAGTCTTTGATCACGTTACAATTGGCTCTAAGTTTGGACTAAGATTTCTTGTCTTGGAGAATGGCAGTTCAGTTATGATCCAGTTGTCAACATAAAGTAAATAGATCACTCAATTTCATGGCAGCTAACTTGATTGGCTACATGTCATCATGATAAGATAATTACTTGAATCTAGAATATTATATGAGCTCAAGCACATCTCCCTACCCTGTGATAATTGTTAGTATACTACATAATGCTTTCTAAGAATGAGGTAAAGGATAGCAATAGAGTATATATCAAAACTTAGATGAAAACTTAGAAAATCAGTAAAAAGCCAATCCCTAACACTCCTCTGACTTCCCTTTATTCACACTGTTACTATGGTTTTCTCATTGGTCACTTGTAGTTTCTCCTCCCTTGACCTAAGTTTAGGCCACGTGATTTTCCTTAGGTCAAGAGACAAAATGAAAGTCACAATCCACCATTCCAGCTTCAGGCTTTGGAAGCATTGCACATTTTTCTTGTCCTCTTAGAGCTCAGCTACTTAGTAGGGCATGAGAATAACATGTCCCATTCAGCTGTCTGGTACAAGGAGGATGAGAAGCACCCAGACAAGTCTCAGCACCCCAAATCATCTAACCCCAGTCAACTAACCGATGAATCTTACTGGTTTATTTATTTATACAGCCATGCTGTAGCAATAACTGATCGATATACTCTAAAGTTCAGTTTTTAGATATGTATTAAATGTATGATAGTAAAATCCTGGTGGATCCCTTCAACTTTCAGTTAGCTATTGTGGTACCATGTTGACAGAGCCATGAAGCCACGATGGGCTGCCAGTCTTGCAGTCACAAGGTGACCATGATTTAAGCAGTTCTTGATGGACACAAAAATGAATCCACTTGTTTGTTTATTTGTTTGTTTGGTTGGTTGATTGGTTTGGTTTGGTTTTAGCTTTTGGAGACAAAATTTCTCTATGTGACCCTCAATGTCCTGAAACTCTGTGAGTGAGTGAGTGAGTGAGTGAGTGTGTGTGTGTGTGTGTGTGTGTGTGTGTGTGTGTGTGTGTGTGGATCAGGCTGGCTTCAAACTCAGAGATCCATTTGCCTCTGCCTCCAGAGTGTTGGAACTAAGGGTGTGCCTGACTAAAAATAAATTCACTTTCAGGACAGGATTTGGTGCTGAAGTTTTCAGGAGTTTTCACTTAGTAAATAACCAGTCAGATTGACTTAGAATTGAGTAGTAAAAGGTTTACTGATTCAAGTGTGAACTGGTGCAGTGAAAGCTCAATGGAGATCATACTGTCCCACAATTACTGTGTTGAGTTAAATAGAGGAACAAAAGCTTTACTATGAAGCTGTGCATGAAATAGAAGTCTTGTTTGCACTTTGAGTCTTCTGGCTGGTTACAGTTCAGACATGCTGGATAAAGATCAGAGATGTTACTAAGAATGATGATACTGTCCAAAGTTAACTGATGCCCTTTTCTGTTGCCCCTTGAACTCTCCTTCCCTTCCCAAAGCAAGACTATAGACTATGATGGAAAACAAAAGCAGAGAAGAGCTCTTCATCCCCAAAGCCTTGTTCCTGGGGATTCAGAGCATAGTAATATTACTGTGTAACTCAAGGCTAGGCTGCCTGCTCAAGGCAAATGAAGTTAGGAGAATGAAACAGCAATATTTGATATTGTGCATTCATAAGCAGACAATTTAAGAGGTTCAGAGAGCAAAGATAATGTTTCCTGTTTCTGGGTAGGGCTCATGCTGGTAGCAACATCCTGGTGTTTCTCTGAGCCATGGTTAGGCTAGGGAGTGACTCTAAGTAGCTTGGATGGATATTCTGCACTCCTGCACCATTCCTGTCTTCCCAGCTCATTATCTTTCCTCAGAGCCCTAGGGACAGAATAGACTGAAGAAAGCATCATCGGTCATGTGCTAGCCAGCTTCCCCTCACGGGAACAAATACTTGAGCTAGACAACTTGTAAGAAATAAACGATTTTTCTTGCTCCCAGTGTGACTCTAGTTCATGGTCAGTTGTTCCTATGACTTCGGGGACAGTTTTAAAGCAGCACATGGCAGGAGCACTGAGCAGACAGACCAAAACTGTCTGCTTTCTGGTAGGGGTGTGAAAGAGAGGAAAGGGAAGGAGCTGGAGTTCTATAGGACTCTGTGAGTTTGCTGACGGTGACCTAAAGGCTTCACCTCATAGTGTTTCCACTACTTTCCAATAGCCTAGCCCTGGAGCCTCTGGTGGACAGTCAAGACACAGATCAGAGTGTCTCCTAAGAGGTGCATGAAGGACTGTGAAGAATGGTGTAGCAGCATCCACTACCTGAGGACAGACGGGTGATGTACCCTTCAACAGTTGTCAGGCTGCAAAGCAAATGAAGAGATTCCTCAGTAGAAATGCCTCGAAATTCTGCAGCAATTCACAAGCTCACTTTTAAATGCTCTACCGAGAAAATGGAGGAAGGTATGACTTGCCTTCTGTGACGTTTCTGCCACCTAAAGGAATGGGAGTTTCTAAGAGAAATTTAGTTCGACTGTAATGAAGGGTTGTATGGTTCACAGTGGACTTTAACAGTGTCTATAATGTTTTCTACTTCAATTCTAAAGCAAATAAGAAACAAGATAAAATGATTACACAATCAAATTTGATGGGGCCTGCCCATATTATTTATCCACTTTGGATGGTTAGATTATTTCACAATAAAAATATTGTTCAGTGGCTTGAATAAGAACGGCCATGTACACTCATAGGTTTGAATGCTGGGTCATTAGGAGTGACACTACATGACAAGGATTAGCAAGTATAGCCTTGTTGGCAGAAGTGGGGCTGGGCTTTGGGATTTAAAATGTCTGTCAGGCCCAGTGTCTCTCTCCTTCTTTCTTCCCTGTTACCTATGGATTCAGATGTGGAACTCTCAACTACTTCTCCAGCATCTTGTGGGAATTCTTGCTGCCATCTTCCTGCCATGACGGCAACAGACTAAACTTCTAAAAACCCAGTAAAATGTTTTCTTTTATAAGCGTTCCTGGGACCATAGTGTCTAAGACTTGACTAAGACGTACTGTGAAGTAAAATGTGCCCATTTCATTTTGAATTTGTGGTCTAAACTCTGTCCCCAGGGTTAGTAGCATCCACTGTGATTTAGGCAGCTTCACCAATACTTCTTTTCTAATTGGTTAATTTATTTTACATGCCAACTGCAGTTTCCCTTCCTTCATCTCCTCCCTTTCCCTCCCACCCCTACCTATCCCCTGCCCCCCGCCCCCAATCCACTCATTTGTTTCTGTTCAGAAAAGGGTGAGCCTCCCACGGATATCAACCAAACATGGCATATCAAGTTGCAGTAAGACTAGGCACCTCCCCTTGTATTAAAGCTAGGCAAAGCAACACAGTACGAAGAATAGTGTCCCGAGAGCCAGCCAAAGAGTCAGAGACAGCCTCAGTTCCCACTGTTAGGAGTCCCTCAAGAGGAACAAGCAACACAACTGTCCCATATATGCAGAGGGCCTAGGTCAGTCCCATGCAGGCTCACTGGTTGTTGGTTCAGACTCTATGAGCTCCTGTGAGCCCAGGTAGTTGATTGATTCTGTGGATTTTCTTGGCTGCATCAATACTTTAACTGTATCATCTTATGGAATGTTCACAGTACCCCTGATAGGTGTGCATCAACTATGTTTTCCTTTTTTGTCTTTTTTCTTTTTTAATTTACTCTTTACTCTTCTCTCGATGCATATAGCATCCCAACTGCCATTTCCCCTCCCTCCTTTCATCCCAGCCCCCCCTCCCTTCTACCCCAGATCCACTCCTCCTTTTGCTTCAGAAAAAAGGCATGCCTCCCAGGGCTATGAACCAAACATGGCATGTTGTTATAATAAAATAATAAAATATTAGTTAAATGAAAAATAATTAAAAATAAATAATATAAAGCTAATTAAAAAACAAGATTAAAATACTCTGCAGGCACTTTGATCAGAAAAAAAAAACATAGAAATGGCTTGCTTGTGTTTTTTAATAAATCAAATAGAAAAAGTACCTTTAAAATACTGGAAGAAAAGCTGGGAATGGCATACCTATAAATTCCAATATCTGATAGGTAGAAGCAGAGAGATCAGGAGTTCAAGGCCAGCACCCTCTAATACAGGGAATTTAATGTTGGATGATGATGATTAAACCAAAGAAGGCCCCAGCAAGGGTTCAAGTCAGATGGGGATAGGAAAGGAATTAGCAACATAGCAAGTGTTCATCCAGAATGCTCTTACTTTCCAAGTAAAAACAGAAAATACAGAAAGAAGGCCTCCGTGGTATCTGGTAGAGAAGTTAAGCCCAGGGCAGGTATGTAAGGTGGCAATGATGATAAACTGGTGACTACTCAGCCAGACAGAGCAATTGCTGAAATGATGGCATAATTATATACTTACATGTAACTAGTAACTCCCCTGACACATACCATTTACCTAGAGGGCCGTCAGCTAATTAGCAGTGCCCTGAGAAAAGCCCCCAGTGTCACAGCTTGAGTCTTGAATGACTGGTGAGTGACTTCGTCATACACACACACACACACACACACACACACACACACACACACACAACCATTTACAACCGGAGCTAAAATCTCTTCTCTAAACTAATTGACAAAGACACACTTAGGTAATCTAGCCATCTGCATGTTGGGAAATGTTGGAAAGATTTTGCATCCTGTTTGAAGATTTATGTGTTTTATTTTATCTGTATGAGAGTTTTGCCTGCATGCAGGTATGAGTACCATGTGTGCATCAGTGCCTATAGAAGCCAGAAGTGGGCACAGGGTTCCCTAGAACTGGGGTTACAGACAGTGTGACCTACCGTTTGGGAACTCAACCCAGATCCCCCGCAAAGGCAGCAAGTTCCCATAACCCCCTTCACCTGAGCCATTGCTCCAGCCCCAGATTTTGATCCTTAAGACACTGATATGACTGTGTGTGGTCAAACCTTAGGTTTCTAACCAGAGTAGAAATCAAATAAGACTAGATGAGAAGAAAAAAAGACACGGGGTGATGGGAATGGGAAAAGGATCCCATGGTAGGAGGATGACACTGGAGGAAAGGAGAGAACACAAAAGCAGACAATTCACTTTTAGTGTCCCAGAGCATACCAGGCACAGTTATTCATCAACTTAGAGATGATTTATTACCCAACAAAATTCCCTCAGAAGGACTTTTAGTGTGTGGAAACTTCAGTTCCTTCATCTCTAAAGTAGTGGGAATTAGATTATCGATGGACGTCTTATTTAGTTGATAACACATAACCTGCAAGCTGACCTTCAGTGTTGTTTCTAACACGACAATAAGGCAAATAAACTGCACTTGCCGTTCATTTCCAGTAAATGATTTAGAGAAAGTTATTAACTTGCCTTCAAGCCTAAAGTTATCTGTGTGGCTATCAAAGGAAAGAATTGTTTACGTTGCCTACTCACCAAAATCTTGTACCTAAATCGGTGAGTCCTGCACCTTGACTTCTCATGGGATTGGGAGTTGCTGCTCCCAGCCAGCTATAACAACCAGCATAACAGCTGCTTGTCTTTGGTGCCTGCTTCTTGTTGAGGCAGGTTACTTAAACAGTTTGTGGTTTTTCCATTCATTAGGAATTCATCTTGGCATTGACAACGCTTCACTGGTCGTTATGATGCCAAGCATCGTTGTTGCTTACGGGTTTGCCCGTGAGGTGGCTTTCCCTCTTTCCCTCTGCTGAGGATGACTTAGGCATTCACTGGAGGACCTCTCCTGAGGTTTCCCTTCCTGCCTGGAATGCAAGACAAGCTCTCCCCATTCCTGTTGACTTCTTCACAGTCAGAATTACTCATCAGCAATTGAAAACTGAGTAATACTAGGTGGGAACCAGTTACCACATTTCCCCTAGAACAGACCCAGAATTGCCTTGCAGCAGATATCGATCGATGAAAGGAAATGTAGTTAGTAGAGAAAGCGCACTCCAAGAGATCATCTCAAGTGGCCAATGCAGGATACTTGGAATCAAAGAGCATCCTTTTTCTGGTGGTCTATCATGCGCGTTGGCACACAGGTTGATGAAAGACTTTAGAAAAGGTAATTTAGCAGACATAAAACCAAGGAAATTTGCCTTTTGGAAGATCTTTAATCTCATGGTGAATAATAGCTAGCATAAGTGATGTTTATCACACTTGCTGTCCCTAGTTAAAATTGATCCTTTTATTTTTACAACGTATGACTAATCACCCTTATTTGATCAGTATAATACATGCAAGCATTGAAATATCACATCATTAGCATATGGTCATCACATGCTAGTCAAAATAGTTAATTCAAAAACTGGATTGCCTTTTGTCCCCATCAGCAAGGGCCCAATCTGCTGATGTCATTGCTCTTTCCATGTCTTCTTTCCAGCCAGATGATCAGGTGTTTTGGGGTGTCATTCTCTATCCTCAGACACGTGTTTCCTCTTCATCTTCCCCCGATCCCATGTTCCTGCCTCCTGGTAGCCATTTTTTAAATTTATCTTCTGCCCTTTCCAGTGTGCTATGCAAGGGTTTGTGTATGGATGCTTAGGTAAAAAACATCCTTCTCAGTTTATGGCGTGTGAATTTCATACCTGCTGCCTTGTGTTAGTTACTCAATTCTTTAGCAAGAAGCAACTATCGTCTGTTTGATTTTTCTTTACAATAAAATACAGGAGGTTGGCAGATTTTGAAACTGATCTATTAGTTGTTAACTTAAAAAAAAGTCTAGTCATTTTGTCAAAACCCATCTCCTCTCACAGTTAAGCATATCTTTCTGGGCAGGCGTCCTTTAGAACTGAGGATGTAGTTTAGTAGTAGAGTGTTTACCTCCAGGCAGAATGCCCAATGCCCGGATTTGATCTCAAGCCAGCAAGAAAAACCCACTCTGGTAACGAACCTGAACCTCTAACTAAAATTTTCTACAGTTGAAAATGTTCAAAGTACTTATGATTACGGCACAACCTGTTGATAGAAATTTCATTTTCTTTTTTGTAGAGATTGATAATGACTTTACCGGCACCCACACAGATTCCTTCCTTGTGTTTATATGTAAAGTGCTCCTTCGGGTTCCCAGTCAGAGACAGCCCAGTCCTGGGAGATAATGGAATGTGGGCGAAGTTGGGAAGCAGCTTAGGACAGGGCAGAATTCCTCCTGCCGCGCCGGATGCCCATACTGGGCATCTTTGCAGACTCTTATGCTCCCTCCACCCCTGCTGAGATGATGCACTGGGAAAACATTCGCTCTCCCAGGGATGCCTCTCTGTTGGTTTATAGCTGGGAAAACGTTGCCCCGGGTCTAAAATATCTGCCCAAACAGCCTAGCGCTGATGAAGGCTTTCTCACAGGCTCTCAGCTCCCCGCGGGCGCTCCCCGCCCTCTGTTGCCAGAACCTTGGGGATGTGCCTAGACCCGGCGCAGAGCACGTCCCAGCCAACTGAGAGAAGAACAAACCACTG